TCCGTCCTACAATGGTAGAGAATTTAGTAAGTGCAATGATATTAAACTCTAACAATTTACAAATGATATTAGTGTATATACTTACTGTCCTCGCTAGTAATAGTCTTTGACAATGCCTTGTTTGCCTCATTGCACAATTTCGTGATTACTCCCATCCACTTGTTGTAGTCCTTCTCATCGGCCATCGACATGTTCGTTGCTAGCTGATTCAACATTGCAGTGGTTTCTCGGTACCGCATTGCTATATCTTTACCGGCATCATTCTCACTAGAAGCTGAAGGACCAACAGAACCATCGACATCAACAACCTCTTTCTTTCTCGCCTCCAATGTCCATCGCTTGAGTATGTAATGATCTGGAACACTTCTCATACTAGCTTCCCCAAAATCTCCAAGAAGCCGCATCACCTTAATCATGTGGCGACATAACACTCCGAAAGTTCTGAACATTCTGCATTCGCATACCAATGTCCTCGTAGAAATATCGACACGCTCTCACTACGCTCACCATCCTCTATCATATATGTGCGGTAGCCAATCATGCCATCATCCCTAGTATCCGAGAGCGTCTCCATTATATATTTTTCAGTTGTCAAATACTCCTTCTGTATCTGATTGAAGATGTTAGAAGTAAAGATCTTTGCCGCATGTTTTAGGATCGGGCTGTGCTCCAACATTATATAGGGAACTGATTGTTTCCCAATGTAGTCTGAATCACTCTCCTTGCGTCTTTTTTCAGCAACCAAACTACATTTAGAAAGCAAGAGAAAAGAGATTAGTGCCCAGACTAATATCCACTCACAATAGTACTAATATCATAACAAAAAAAAATATTTAACAAGAGCATATTAATATCCATATGACAAACAAAAATATCCCGAATGAACAAGCTAATGTCACAGAAAGGCAAAGATATATATTGCGTACGTACCTGCTAAAATGAATGAAAAACATGTCCAAATCATGCTTCGGTTTCAAGAAACGTCGCACTTGTGCATTGCACGACTCGCTGGCTTGCGTAGTCAACATCCCGCCTGTGAATTGATCTCTCAACCATAAGGAACACCATTGATGGCGAAATTTCTTCAAATATTCCAACCATGGGTGACCGTCCGCAATTTCGCTATTAGGGAAACAATCAGCAACCATTGTGCTCCATGCCATGTCGAACTCTCTCTCACTGTCGACGTCGTAGAAAATATAAGAAAGATGAGATTGGAACTTCTTCCAAAATTTCTTGTTTTTACGAAGATGCTTCTTGGCATTCATGAGGATGTGCCAAGTACAGAGTGCATGAAACGTTTCTGGCCACTCCTTTCTAAGGGCAACTGCCATGGCGGCGTCCTGATCAGTAAAAATAGTGACTAGGAGCTTCTTCTTCATGCACCGACTAAATGCAACAAACAACCATTCAAAAGACGGTATGGTCTCATCATACATCAAACAAGCACCAAACACACAAGTTTGACGGTGGTGATTGAAACCTACAAACATCCCTGCACAAGACAACTATTAATGTCAACAAATATCTGTAAAGCACAGACTATTATCTCATTATAACAGACAAATATCCATCAAGTTAAAGAAGCATATCCTGCAATCTCAAGTTAATATCGGATCACAACAGACCACTATCGAACCACCCTACATTCTACTCCTAACCATTTCTATTCCATGGGCCTTCGGCCCATGGGCCCTCGGCGGGCAGCCCTAACTAAGGTTGCAAGCCTTATGTGTTAGGACTTGCTAGTGTGCCAACACATGTCAACAAATATCTGTAAAGCCCAGACTAGTATCCAATTAAAGACAGACAAGTATCCCAGCAGTTACAAAAGCATATCCTATCATCACATGTCAATATCGGATCACAACAGACGACTCTCGAACCACCTTACATTCTATTAATGACAATGTATAACAAAACGAGTGTTGAAAAAACATCTTCTTCGTTAGGTAGTTCACGTACCTAGTGGACGGAAGTATTTATTGGTTCGGAAGGTGGTATCAAAGGAGATCGAATCACCAAAAAGCGCATAATCTTCACACATCCTACTATCCGCCCAAAAGATATTAGCAACTTTCTCCTCGCAATCTACCTCTACAGCATAAAAGAAGCCAGGATGCTTTTCTTTTTGGTCCTCAAAGTAGTCAAGCAAATAAGTCGCTTCGCCACGAGCCATATTCCTTTGCCTTTTACTGTTCAAGTGGTTCTTCTGATCCGATTTGGAAAATCTCAGATTTTGATAGCCACCAGCACAGTCAGCCAATAATTGATACGATGCACTAAGACTCATCCCGGCATCGCGATTAGCTTCGGCCATCTTTTTCTGAGCATCACTCATGCACTTGTTGGACTTGTGCAAGTGCATATGCTCGGTAGAGTGCAAATCATGACTATGGGCTTCTACGAATTCATACACCACAAATCCGTCCCTAGTAGCATCCCATCGAAAACGAACACGAGCAGGACATCCATCCCTAACTCGAGACCTCTTTCTTTTAGGGCGCCTTCTCTCCACAACTTTGTCTTCTGGCTGTCTTTGTTCGTCCACATTGACATTTACTTCGCTAGTGCTTGTCCAACCTTCCTTATTACAAAAGTAATAAAGATAAAAATAATTTTTCTCCACCACTCCATTAGAATTCTTCCTTTCTTTTAGGTGTTCTCCATCTATCCGAACACCAAACCCTTTTTTGTGAGCATAGCGTTTATAGAAATCCAAGCACTCATCCTTAGTGCGATAAAAGATGTTCTTCCTCGCTTCCTCATCTTCTAGGTCCAACGTGTTATGAGCTGCGAGTTAATGGTATGAGACATGTTATTATCCATTTTGTCCAATAAACAAATGAAATATTACCCACAAACTGTTAGAGTACATAATGTTCAATAAATATCCAGTCTAATAAAAATAATATCCATAAGTACCAGACTAGTATCAAACACACACCACGTCCAACATGTCAAGACGAATATCAAACATCTAAGTCGGTCGTATCCATGAACCTCGTATCAATATCAGTACCCCATAACAACATCAATATCATTGAATAGCATTCAATGCAACCAACCAATCTCACAACAACACAAACATATATATAAATTACTCAATCAACCTTTATTTTCTTCTTCTTCTTCTTCATCATCGACGGTAGGAGCACCACCTTCTTCTTCTGTATTTTCTTCTTCTTCTTCTTCTTCTTCTTCTTCTTCTTCTTCTTCTTCTTCTTCTTCTTCTTCTTCTTCACTATTTTGGATGATCGGCTTATCCTTCTTCATTGGAGAAGCTCGTTGATCATCCAACTCACCATTCTCGTCGATCAGCATCTGCCGATCGTGGACAAGGCTCGCCGGAAAGGAAAAGACGGTGGCCGGAATTACTGTTCGGTTGGTGGTGGTTGGGCGGCAGTGTGGCTTCTCGACGGAAAAGGGAGAATGGGGTGGTTGGGCAATAAATGGTTTCTGCTGCCCAAATTTTGCATTTTTTAGTTTTCTTGTTCTCATAAATATCAAGATCCCTGGCCCACTTTTTTTCATTTCCATTCTCCCGCCCAACCCTCCACGCGGGCCCACTTTTCCCTTTTTGGCTGCTCCCGCCCAAAACCCCTTCCTTCTCAGCCCATCAGCCCCAATTAATAGGCCCGCGATTCTGGGCCCTTGGATTGCAGCAGTGGGGACGTGGCTCAAATCCGGCCCGTGTTAGTATCTGCTAACAGAAACACCTGTTAGCAGTTTAACTTCTGCGGAAGAAAGGGGCTTCTGTGATCTCCACTGTTTTATTCAAAATTTGCATTCTCGGCTCTGAACGTTTGAAAATGTTGTCACGCCGGCCGGCGTGCCACCGGTTGTACCGGGTTCAACCGGTACCGGCCATAAAACCGGCGTGACACCACCGGTATGACCGGCATGATCGATATACGAATCTCTAAGTAAAATGACCTTATTTTAGAGAATTTAATTGATAAAAATTATTTTATTATTTATTTTATGAGTATAAAAGTTAAATATTGATGTTATTTGTTGGATTCAAATATAAATGTTTAGGTATTGACGTTAAATGTCATGTCTAAATATGAGTATTTATAATTTTATTTGTATTATTGACCGGCATGAACCGGCACAAACTGGTATGTGCCACCGGTTGAACCATTCCACTTGCTAAACCGGCACACTGGCATAAACCGGTTTGACAACCTTGGTTGGAGTACATAAACCAGATGTTCCCCACAGGTTCATTTCCGCTTCTCTCACGCTCTCTCTGTTTGCTTGTATGACTTGGAGAATAGATTAGTGGAAGTTTAGATTATCTCCTTGGGAACCCGTATTCAGTGAGTAGTATTCGTCATCATACTTCTGATAGTACTTCTGATGGAGCCTGATTAGTAGTCGATTCAATTGTTTCGGGATCAAATTTGTGCTTATAATTGGTAGGCTCAATCTAGGAAGGTCACGGTCAGTATAATTTTGTTTGTGGGATTCAACATATTTGCGTATTTAGGGAAAGTATTTTGGCTCATGTCATTTCCATGCTACTGTCCTGCTGCTGACCTAAGTTAATTGGGGGTCAGTAATGGAGGGCTCGAGTCTTGACTCATAGTCATAGGTAGATGTTAGTCAACACTGAACTGCAGCGTCTCAGTTTTTCTCCTAAAGACTACTGTTGTGCTGCTATCATATGTTGGATTAGTTACGCTTTGAGAATGTGGCATTTCAATCAATTGAGGGAGTTGTGCTAATCTAAGCTGAAATAGAAAATTAGAAACTAGGTCAGGAACTTAAATAGATAGGATGGGACATCAAAGTGATAGTTAGAGCAAGGGGTCAGAGTAAGGGCGAGATGTCAGCTATGATGGTTTGCTTCTGTGTCTGATGTTCTTGGACCAGAGACATGACCTAGTTCGAAATTTTTGATTAATGGTATTTTTATCATCATAAATTCATGGCAAGTATATTAAATGAATGTAACGACTATAGCAACGATTAACTCAGCTATGCAATACTTCCAGAGGCATCGTTATCTGGGGTTGAGCCTCTTATGCAAAAGATTCACAGTAAGATACGCCGAGTGGATGCTGGGATACTTGCAGCTGTTCGCCAACAGGTTACAGTCCTGCTCTTGCTTCCTCTTGTATTTTGCATAAGCACATGAGCATTATTTGCCTCTCCCATTGCATGATTTTTGGACTTAGTATGGTATGACGCTGTTGTTGCATCCTCGGATCAGTTGTCTTTGTTGTCGTGAAAGATTTTTGAGCCATTGGGTGTGGGAATTGAAGTTTCGGAGTTTGTGCATTAGGATTCCAGTCATTGAAATTTGAAGAACCAACATCTTTTAATGATGTCTTGAAAGTATCAGATGCTGATAACCCATAAGCAACAAGAGATCAACAGCGTCTTACAGAGTATCAGTTACTGTCTACTTACCCAGTAAACAATCTTACCCTAGCTCAAACATATTTGATAAAACTAGTAATGGAGGTGGGTACCTCTGTAGATTATGATTTGAACTATTAACCTAGCCTTTAGCAATTGGGGAGATGGATTTTTGGTTTCTGACCTCTTGAAATAGAGGTTTTGTTTGTGCTAGAGGCGTAAGGAAGACTTCTATTATTATATAACCTTTTGACGAGTTGTCAATTCGTTTCAGAGCAATTCCAGAGCCAAAGCCAAGGAAGATCTTGCTGCTGCTACACGGGCTGTAGAGGTGAGTATGTGACAAATTTTTATTTACCGTTAGAGTATGGTGTATGTTAGTTAGGAGTTTGAGTTCTATTGCCCCTGAAAGAGCAGTTAAGTCTAGTCTTACTCTTATGTGAGCCATTATTTCTTTGTCGCATATTTATTTTGTCTTCTTTCAACTCAGGAACTCATGTTTAAGATTCGAAAAATTAAGACAAAAGCTGAGCAGAGCGAAACAATGGTCCAGGAAATATGTTGTGACATTAAGAAGTTGGACTTTGCAAAGAAACACATTACGACCACAATAACTGCACTTCACCGTCTTACTATGCTAGGTTAGTGTTTCCTATGTATTGAGTCAGTTTTGGGGTACACAATTTATGATTTTAGGTTTACTGTATTCATTATTTTGGTTTACTGTCATTGCCTGTTGGAAGCATGAATAGCATTTCCCAAGTAGAAGCACATAACACACCAATTATTATGCATATTTGGCACTTTATGAGTTATTACCAGGTTTGGACCTATGTCTGAGTCTTAAAGGCTCATTATATAGAATATAATCCAAATTGTACAAAACTCTGACCCTGGATGACACAGTCGTTGATGTTTATTCCTTGCACTCCCAATCTTCTCTTCCTGATTGAAAAATAAAGAAGTTTGTATTTCACTTTCAATCTTTAACAGGATGTTTAGGAGATTTTGCTTGGTCAATTAGGAATGTCATGCATACTATGATAACCAGAATAATCATAATCTATTGGACCTTTGGGTCTAAAGTGGTGCTTTTTCATGCTGTCAACATGGGGCAAACAAATTAGTGAGACCCATGAGAATCAACAAGTTATATGCTATTTAGCTGATAGCTATATCAGATATGGTAATTTTAGGCCCTTCAGGTAACATATTAATTTAACGTTGTTTCTGTCAGTGCTTGCTAAATTTATTTAAGCTCTTCGTACACCCTATAAGCTATTTTGGCGAACATAGAGAACTAAATCCATACATTGATATCAACTAAAACATTTCCTGTTAAGTATCACAAATTTCAATTCTGATTCTCAATCATAGTTGGTGTTCCTCTATTTTCTTTTCTTTCTCCATAAGTTGCCCCCTGTTTGGTTCAAACATAAGTTTTCCTTTCCATTGTCTTCTATACTCTTTGGAACTTGCACTGGTAGCTTGGGAAGCTTGAAGGAATGATGGTTGACTTACACATTGCAATACTCTAGCATTCGCCTTTGTTTTATGCAGTGTCTGCAGTTGAGCAGCTGCAAGTAATGGCTTCCAAACGAAATTACAAAGAAGCGGCTGCCCAACTGGAGGTACATATCACTGTATAGATTACTTAAGAGAACTTCACTGCTTTGTACATTTGTGCTATTTCCAATCATTTTCCATCAGTAATCCTGTTTTCACTAATCTCTTAAAATGATACCTCCAGTTCCATAGGTCCCAGTGATGCATTATGCTTCAATGCTTATTCTACTATCTAGTTGTTAATGCACATCGTCTGGAGTTCAAGGAAAATAGAATGTTCGTCTTATTACTCTTAAGGAATAAGGAATACTCTTATCATCCTCACATTCTAGGGAGATTCCAGAAACTATAGGCTTCTGCTTAATAAATGTCATATAGTTTTTCTTGGAGGGCTACTTCAATTTTCTGGCGTGCTAACAATTTTGGGACGGGGTTTTTGGTTGATGAATTTCAGGCTGTAAATCAGTTGTGTAGTCACTTTGAAGCCTACAGGGACATACCAAAGATCATGGAGCTCAGGGAGAAGTTCAAAAATATCAAACAAATTCTCAAATCTCACGTATTTTCTGATTTCTCAAGGTATGGAGTCCTGAGGATGACCCATCATATTATTTGGCTGTTTGAATGGCAGCAAATGTGTGTCCTACTTCTTCATGCCTCTTCATCTGTAAGATATTTATACACGGAGATAATGTTATGAGTCTGTTTGTGTACCTCAAAACTTATATGCTGTTAAGGAATAGTCATGTACAGTACCTCAGGGATCGAAAACAACAGGAAACAGTTTCGTGTTTATGGTGAACTCATTTAAAGTTACATTTGTAGTATTTCCTTGGAAAGTCTGTTCAAAGGTCCTAAAAGTTGAACAAAAGATTTATAACTGTACAATTTTGGAGACTCTACCTATGTCGTGAAATATGGGATCATGTCTGCCTATACTTAATCAGTATTCAAAAGAACACTCCATTTTGAGATCCTTCTATGCTTAAAGGAAGTGGCTGTGAAGAATGGGTGTTCTCAGGGTGGAGAGCTGACAACTCTATACCTAAGAAGTCTTATTGCCAGCTAATTCACTTGTATGCACTTTCTGTATTAAGCTCTGTAGTTGATGATAGGAACTAAGGGGTCGTTTGGTTTTGGTGATACTTAAATCAATGCATTGTGATCCATGATGCATTGTAATATAAGTGCAATTAAGGGAAATGATGTAATGTACTTTGCATGGTTTGGTTTTGGTGATAGTTCTTTTAGTATTCAACAAGTTATATTACTTTTTGTGGGAAAGATCACATTTGCCCTTGCTTTTGATCTTGCATAAATTTTTAAAAGTGTTCCATCTTTACAATGTAGTTTGTTAATATGTATGTCAACAAGATGAAGCTCTCACAGAACATCAATTAAATTGGTACTTAGAGTTCCATAATCTGTCAGGTTGAGACGCCACTTTTCTCTTACATTTGTATGAGGATTCTTCGAAGGAATTAGACAAGCGCACTATTCCACCTTTAATAGGTTGAACGTGAAATTGCTGTAGTCATTAACTTTCCAATAACATATCAAATCTGTATGAACGAAAATTATATAACTGAGATTCTTTTCATTTCTTTTAGATTTATTCAGCGGAGTCTTTTATTTTTAATCTCAGCTTGGGAACTGGGAAAGAGACGGAAGAAACAAATTTGCTGCAGCAGTTATCTGAAGCGTGCTTGGTGGTTGATGCTTGGGAGCCATCCGTGAGGGAAGAGTTGGTTAATAATTTCTGTAGCAGGGAGCTTACGTCGTATGAGTAGATCTTTGAAGGAGCTGGTTCGTGTTATCTTTGATCTTTCTTACGTGATTTGTATGTATGTGTATAGGTATTTATCAGGATTCAGAATATTTTTTCTTCTAAATATCTTTTCCGGTTTGTTTTCTTTATGACCAGAATTGGCCAAGTTGGATAAAACTGAACGAAGGTATGCATGGATTAAGCGCCGGATAAGAACAAATGAGGAGATATGGAAGATCTTCCCTCCTTCATGGCATGTTCCCTATCGTCTTTGTATCCAGTTCTGTAAGAAGACAAGGTACGGAGTCCGGTGACAGAACATTTCCATAGTTATGAATGGATAGGCGCTACTTATTTTATCATGAGTGCTTATCTGATTATAATGCAAGTACAAAAGAAAGTCAATGATATGGTGATTTGAGTTATTATTTGTGTTACACTGCCTTCGTTTGATTGTGAGTGCATTGTGTTTGGTATGTGCTACTTATTTGAAGTCCTTGTAATCGATCTACTAGTATGTATGAGCATGTAGTTGGAAAAGCAATGAGAAATTCCAGTATTGACTTGGACATGGTATCCCCTATGTACAGAATTACAAGTGAAAATGTCACTGGTTTTATATATACAACTCTTGACTCTTACTTTCAAATAGCAGATGTTGCATCATGCAAGTAAATTTAGGTTTCCATCTTCTATTTTTCTGTGCAAATTACCTTAGATGTCGGGGACCAAGCTTCTATGTACATCATGGGGAACTGATTGTTTAGGTGTTGGAAGGAGACTTGATATATCAAGTTTTCCACCAATTTGACATAATTTTATATGGACTACTCAGGAGATGCTTAGAAGGCATTCATCACGCCTGTCTGGAAAACTATTTGGGCTTTGTTTTGCTTCAAATATCTAAACAAAGTAAAAGATGTTTAAGAGATTGTGTTATGTATGCGATCATTTGATGTTTCTGATTTCAGGAAACAACTAGAGGGAATACTTGAAAATCTGAAGGATAAGCCAGATATTGGAGCTCTTTTAATGGTATACTTTTGCTAGACATCCCCATGATATAAAAATGTCTTATTTTTTGAGATACCATGGTATGAATGTCATTGAAGGCGAAAGGAATATGATAGGATTTGTCTCATTACCATGGTTAACTTGTTTGGTTTCGCTACTGTGTTTGTTGAATGTGTTCTTGTTTAATTTTGACAGGCCCTGCAACGAACTTTAGAATTTGAGGATGAATTGGCTGAGAAATTTGGAGGTGGTTCTCAAAAGGAGATGGGAAATGAGATAGAAGAGATAGGTAGAGAAAATCACAATCAAAGTGTTTCAGATATTCGGAAAAATTATGAAAGAAAGCTGGCTATACATCAGGAAAATGAAGGCCAAGTATGTATTATGGCATATAGTGAATGATAATCCTCTCATAAATTGTATCTGTATCAGGTGAACTACTTTCTGACCGTGATAATGTGTTTGCAGGAAAAATACGGAAATAAAGATTTGTCAGCACCCGGAGCCGGGGTACGTATTTGCGTTTCCATCTGATTTTTCTTTTCTTCTGTCTGTTTCCTTGTTTTCTTGATTATGCCACTGGGCATTCACGTAATTTTGTCAAAGTTGATTGCATTGTGTTAAATAGAAAATTTAAAATTATAATGTGTACATGCCAATGTTATAGTATTAACTAATTGATATGAAGAAAGATTGCTCATTTTAACTTGCATTTAAAACGGTCAGCATCAACCCAAACTTTCATCTCTGTGATATGAATTCTTCAGGCTTTCAGTTTTGAAGTTGCTTAGTAATTGAAATAATTTAAGCTTTTCCATTGTGCAGTTTAACTTCCGTGGAATTTGTTCATCTTGCTTTGAACCTCATCTAACTAGCTATGTGGAGCTAGAGCAGAAGACACTGATGGAGAATCTAGAAAAACTTGTTCAGGTAGTGTGAGAATTCAGGTTGTAACGCCTCCATTTTTCTGTGATCATTGTGCATATTGTTCTACAAACTTTATTGTCTTCTTTACAGGAAGAAAAGTGGGATATTGAAGAGGGCAGTCAGAATAATGTTTTATCTAGTAGCATGCAGGTAAGAAATTGGACGCTCGTTTCTTTTGCATGTTCATTTTGAGTTCTGAATTGATCTCAGTCACATACATTATAAGATCATGTTCCTATTGTGGACTGGCAACTATCTTCATCTTCATCATACATAAAGAGTGTACTTTCGAAAATCGACTTGGGCTCTTGTCCATTGAAATTGAAAGTCTATGAAGAAAATAACAGCAGCTGTCTGTTCATTCTAATTGCTAGTTGGTTTAACGAATACTTTTGATGCGAATTATCACTGAAGCGAAGTTATTGCATGCAAGCATGTATATGTTTTTTCCTTTCTAGGCTCCATTAGGCATCAAGTACATTTGAGGATGTTGGTTATGCCTGATGTAAATTGTATTTGCTTGAATCGAGGCACATAAATTCAAATGATTAAGATCCTGACACTTTTCTTGGTATAGTATCTCCAATATTTTTTAGGCCTTAGGGAACCATATTGAAACGGAACCTGAGTTTGAAGTATTCTTCTTTGTAAATGTTTATGATAGTTGCAGGCGATATTCCCATATTCTTCTTAGTTGACATACCTTTGATTTCTCCTTGCATTTGATATTCCCATATTCCCTCCAAAATATGTATTGATATTCCCGTATTCCCACCAAATAAGTTTTTGTTTGAGGTTGTTGCTTTTTGGATGTTATTTGCTAATTGCTTTGTGGAACATACAATTCTGCATCACAACAGTGCATTGAGATGCTATTTCATGATAATGATGAATTGTTGTTTGTCATGTTTTCAGTTGTTTCTCATCATCAAGAGGAGCTTAAAACGTTGCAGTGCTCTAACAAAGAGCCAGACATTACTCAATCTATTCAGGGTATTTCTTTCATCATCTACTGTGCATTTACTTTAAGTCTCGCACTGCAAATCAGTAATCTAAAAGCAAATTGTAACAATTAATGTCAACCTGCATTAGATACATAAGTAAGGCTTCTATTAAAGAATATGATCAAATTGATCGATCAGTTATCAGAGAATAATTTCCATTTGTTGGATTTTGGCCAATTATTTCCTGCATGAGAAGCTTGTTTTCCTTTGTAACAAATTTGTTGACGTTCATTATAGTTTTGAATACAGTTTTGGATCTCCCTTTTACTAATGGCAGATAAGATGTAAAAAGATAGAACTGAAAGGAGTTCTTTTTCATATCTTGTCATTCCTCCTATAAACTAAACAAAATTCCTCTTGGGGCCAACGTTCAACTATCGCAAAGACTAAATGGAAAAGCGGGTAATTCCACACCGTTGTTAGGATGTTTCTGATGGAACTAATTGAATTATTATCGAGAGAGATTCTTCTAATTGAATTATAGTTGGAGATCAATGATATCTCATGGGACCCTGAGGCAGATAAGCTTGTGCACTTGTGCGGGTGAGATAAGTATTTTGTGAACCTTTAATTTTGCTCCGCTTACAGGTATTTGAAAAAATTCTGAAAGCGTATGCTTCAAAGCTCAAGGCAAGGTTTCCCAAGGGTGGTGTGGGAATTGTTGCAGCAGAAACTAGTATGGATGGACAAATTAAGGCATTACTAATGGCTTCATGGCCACAGTGAATAAAGTTGTCTTAGTAATATGTTATGTGGATTCTCTAATGCCATCGAATTTTGAGCAGACTTCCGATAGAGATGAACGGCTGATTTGCTATATCGTCAATTCAGCCGAATACTGCAGAAAAATAGTGAGTTTATCTTTTGTGTTTCTATTTATTTGTTCAAAGTTTCTTGTTTCTTTCACCCAGCCAGCAGAAAAATATCTCTAAAATGGGTGGAGATTAATGTGCTCTACAAGATGTTTGAACATAATGACCCTTCCATTTGCCTTAGGCAGCAGGTTCCTATGGAGTATCCCATCTTTTTGCCCAGTACCCTTGTCATTCAGAAAATTTCAAGCACAAGAAATTTAGCTTTATAACTGAACCAGCACTATCTATCCATTCGTAGATTTTGCATTAGGTGGGGCGTTCTGTAATAGCTTAACGGCTATTCCTTATTTGTACAATTATCAAATTAATAAAGTTTTCCAGATGAGACAATGAACAGGTACTTTGCTAGCTTTAGGTTCAGAAGCAACCTATGTGGTTTTCTCTCTTGGGTTGAAGACCTCATAATAGTTGTTCCGGCATCTGCTAGTATTAGGTAAACTCAGCTAGTCTATGTCGGTTACAATTGCGCAGCATCTGTCATCCATGATTAACGTCCGCCTTTAAGTTTGTGAAAATTAAACTGTCGTTTATTCTGTTATATAATTGGGGTTAGAGAGTTCAAAGTGGAACTTAGGATGTACCCTTCCTGAGACATGTTCTGTACTTTAAACATCCCCGCTGGATCCTATTTCCAAATTGCAACTTTCTTGAAAACACTTCTTGGAACAAGTTCCCATCATCATGGCTTGCTTATGACCAATGGTTGAGTGGAGGTGGCACATAATTTCTTCCTAGCTGTTTGTTGATTTAGGAAATGAAACCTAGAATGAAGTGTTGGTACCTGGTCTAACTCTTTTGAACAGTAAGGTGAATTGGCTGAAAGCGTGTCGCAAATAATTGATCCTCAACTTGCAGCTGGAGCATATATGTCATCAGTAGAAGAAGACTTTTCCGGGCTTATAACAGAGGCATTGATGACCTTGGTGCATGGCTTAGAAACCAAGTTTGATCTAGAAATGGCAGCCATGACGCGTGTTCCCTGGGCTACACTTGAAAGCGTTGGCGATCAATCTTCGTAAGAAGCATGATAAGAATTTCTCAATTGTCAGGACTTGTGTATATCACGAGATCCATCTAAATTAGTGATTTGTTATTGCAGGTATGTCAATGGTATAAATATGATCCTAACCAGCAGCACTCATGTACTGGGGAGCCTCCTAGCACCTGTTCACTTCCAGTACTTCTTGGACAAGGTGGGTACAAAATTTCGCTGCGACCAAATATGTTCTTCGGCTTACTTCCCATCTCATATAAAGCAGTACGAAGTAATTGAAAGAAAGAGAAAATCAGAGAAAGGAATGGAGAGAAAAAAAGGAGTAGAAAGTTAAACTGAGATGGTAGATATGTTACAAGTAGTTAGATGAGTGCCTAGGCGCCATTTGCTGTGCATTGTCATAGGCAGGGGAAGCTTTCTCCTTAAGCAGTTAATTCATAGGCTTTGTAGCTTTCTGTGCACTGCCCTTCTCTTCTCACTCAGATGAAATGCATTCAAGTTGTTGTCCTGTCAAGTGTAAAAAGTTCGCTTTTGGCAATTGTGACATACTATTTTTCATTTTTGGTGTACTTATTCTTCAAAAACAATAACATTGTCCATGACTTAACTATTTCTGTGCAGCTTGCATCATCTCTTGGTCTACGCTTCTACACCAACATTTTCAAGTGCAAACAAATATCTGAAACTGGAGCGCAACAGGTATGAACATGTTTTTTTTCTCTCCAATTGCTTGTGTCTGACGATGAATGAATTTAAAGCCACTTACTACTTGTTTTCTTAGGAAATTATTGTTTGCCTCTCCATATTTGTCAAGCCAAGATAATCACGGATGGATTTACTGATGTCCTTTTGAGCAAGGAATTAGATGGAATGAATGCTTAAAATAACATTTCTTTGCTATTTCCTGCTGTGATTCTGTTCCTTACAACAGGATTAATGCAAAGACACACTTATCTTTCATTAACAAGGAAGTGCTTAGAAATAGGTGTGTAAAGCAAGAGGGCAGAAGGACTAATTGTTGCATTCCATGACAAGGAATGAACTCTTTTTGTTCTTTTTGTCTTGAGGCAGAAACTTGTCGTTTCAACCATTGATGAAACTTGACCTCAGCATATGGTTGGGGAGACACAGCACCTGTAAACTAGACCTTTCATTTTGTGAAACCATCAAAGACGATCATTTCAGTTAGTTTAGCAAATTTTTGTGATGCTATTTGCAGATGCTTTTAGATACTCAAGCCGTGAAGACAATTCTTCTGGAGATTCCAGTGCTTGGTCAACAGGTGAGTCAGCACTTTCCGGTCAAATTATTTACATATACAGCTGCATGAGCTGCACATAGATTTAAGTCTAAGGACAGTGCTTTGATCAGACCAAGTTGATATCACTTGAGCTCCCTTATAAAAAATTCAAGTAACAACTGAAAGTAAGAAATTGATCCAAGGATGCTTGATCGTAATGCAACTTATCTAGTAAAGTAACTAATGAGCAGGATTTGATTCCACTTCAATATTTCAGTATGTGATTGAAGCTTTGAAGCAACAGTGAAGAAGCAAGGCGTTTAATTGGGTACTAGTGTACTCTAGGCTTTGTTTTTCTATCTGCACTTCTATTAAATGGATAATATCTCTTCCTAAACAAGTGATATGTTGAATAACACTTTTAACTTTATTTGGCGCAGATGTCTAGTGCTGCGAGCTATTCAAAGTTTGTGAGCCGGGAAATGAGTAAAGCTGAAGCACTTTTGAAGGTATATGATAAAAGAGTAAATGCTTGATTTCTGTTTCATGCCTCACTGCATGCTTTCCTAATTAAGAATGAATTACAGGTTATACTATCCCCAGTAGATTCCGTGGCAGATACATATCGAGCATTATTACCAGAGGGAACACCAATGGAGTTCCAGTGGATTTTGGAGCTCAAGGTTATTCCCTATATCCTTAGGAACCTCGATAAATGGCCATGCTTTGGAGTGTTTGATGACTATGCCTCTTTGAACAAATCTACCTATATGCTTATACAAATCTTCCTATGCAAACACTCTTTCTTATCAAATTCATCTGTTTTGACCTAAGCCATACAAACATACATCTCTTATCAATATTCTGCTTAGCAGCAGAGTTATGTGTTTCGGATTTTTACTCTTTATACATTGAACAAGGGTTTTAATTGTCTCCTACATTGCATTTGCATCTAGGGAAATCGTTACAGGGTCTTAAAAAGGCGGATCAGCAAACCATATTGGAGGACTTCAACAAGCAAAGTCCAGCACTTTCTCAACCTTCAGCTCTGCCATCAGCAGCATCAGCTGTTACTGTCGCAACCGCCCCTCGAAATCGGGATCGCTCGCGAATTTGCTCGGAGTCGCCATCGATCGTAGTTGTGGTGGATCGAACACCTTTGGTCTACGAAATTTTGGATTCTAGGTTCGGGAGTACGGTTACATGTGGGGAAGTGTATTCACACCCACTACTCCCAAAATTGGTACTACTTAAATCGTTAAGTTTTTATAAGAGTTGGGTGTATTATTATTATTTGGCTTCATATATGTTTTTTTAATTATAGGATTAATATAAGTCTAATATGATTCGATTTTACACCTATTGATGTAAATCTTGAGAATTAAAGAAAGAATTTTGATTAGTTGGAACCAATTAATTAATGATTAATGATTATGGAAAGATTATACTATAAAAAATCATCATGATCTATTAACCATGATTTCATTTTACTGAATCGTTAGAAAAAAACGTATACAAATGGGTAATGACTAATGACATAGTGAAAAAGATATTTAGAGAAAATTTTTATATAACTAAATGGAGATATCTAAGACCTTTAATGGATTACGTATTGAGTTTAATTCGAATACAAGCAACCAGAGAAGCTATGTATACAAACATTAAGCTGTAGCTTAGTGGTTTATTATGTTTAATTGTTGGAAGTTGAGAAGTCTAGGACCCGGGTTCGAGCGAGGAAAACCCTAATCCCCTAGTAAACCCTAAGCGCCGCTCAACCTTCTCTCCCTCCCTCTCAACTATTCTCTGTGAAACAAACCAAAGAGGAAGAAAACCCAAAAGAAAAATATCGTCTCTTTCCTTTCCATTTTCCCTTTTGAAATCCGAAACCCTTCTCCATCGATTAACTTTCTTCTTCCTTCTGAGAGAAAAACCAAGGATAATCCCTTTTTTCTCATTCCACCTCGGAATCGGGGAGATCCCGGCCTAAAACGCGCCATCCGAGCGCCGATCAGCTTCTAAATCGACGGTAAGTGGCTGATTATGGTTTTGCATGTTCGATTTTCTGGGTTTTTATTGGATTTCGGGTTCAAGGTTCTAATATTATTCTCATTTTTATTTTTGGGTTCGATCGAGGGGAGAACGGAGAGATAGATATCGTCGGCCGGCGAGGCTATCCGACGATGGTGTGAGAAGGGAAAGGTCGATCGTCGAACTCTATTTTCTGTGAGTCTTCTCGTCGCTTTATGTGGGTTTTCAAAGGGTTTCGATTGTGTATATTTCTGACTTTGATGATTTGATTTGCAGGTTTCGGAGGTGGCTTAGATCTAGGTGAGTTTCTCCTAAATTCTGTTTACTACGGCTGGGGAGATTAAACTGGAAAAAAAAATCATGTTGTTTGTGGATAGGAGAATGATTCACAGATCTGGTATTTTGGAAAGATGTTTGTGTGGGTGACGATTTTGAATCTCGGAATATTATGTTAATATGACTTCAAATTTTGGAAATTTGTAGTTTATGTGGATCTGAAATCGATTTATGGATCTCAGTTTTTGGAAAATGGTTGTGTTTGTGTATTTTTTATTGGGGAAAGGGTCTATACGTGGGTTTAAAATCGAAAATCATGTGGTTTGCTTGTGGATTTGGGACTTTTAGGACTTAGAGGGTTGGCGATGGTGTGGTGATTTTGTTGTTTATCTATTCTATATATTATATTTTTATGTATGTGCAGAAATGATGCAAGAATTGAAATATGACATATATAAACGAACTAGTAAATAACATAGAGTAAATAGCATAATAAATAAATAAATAAATAGTAATTAGCTTAACGTAAAAGTAGAGGTAGTTATATGCTATTATGACTAATTAGTTAGTAAATTAATTGTGCTTGAAATAAGTAGATAAATGGATCGAGAATAAAACAGAGATGAATGGAAACCTCGGATTTGATTAGCTTTCAATCATTCTTTTAAATCAATTTGGTCACGGTGTAGTTCGATTGGAGTTAAAAAGTATTGTGAAGAAAGAGATGCTGATAATGACAATAGTAGAATGATATTGAAAAAAAAAAAAAAATGAGTAGTAGAGAAGAGACTAAATCAGTAGTATATTATCATAACTGGAATATAAATCTGGTTTTTGCTCAATACAAACCTCGTTGGGCTTCTGTTTGCCTTGAGGTCTTCTGCTTCTATTTTACAGAAAGTAAAGAAGGAAAAAATATTTGTATTTCTCTTTCTATTTTCCCAGTGTTTCCCTTCTCTAACCAGACCAAGAACAGAAAGAAACTCTGAATTGACTACGAAAAAGAAGAAGCTAGTACTGACAAAGAAAGAAGTGTTTCTCCAGTGTTTTTTCTTCTGAAAAGCTCCCCCTTCTCCTTGGGAATTGGGCCTCCTTTTATAGAAAAAATGAGGCGGTGGTGTCTGGGTTTGGCTATACCAATTCCTGTTTGACCGGTCGGTTGGATTTAGTCATTTTTTAGCTGGCCGGGTCATTTCTAACCATGTGGGCTTGCCTTGGAATTGGGCCTTGACCGAGCCCTTACTGATCCTTGTGGGCTGGCTCTGCTTTTGGTTGGCTCACATGTGGGCTCTAGTCTTGTAGTCTGTGCTTGAACTTGGACTTTAGGCTTGATATGGACTTGAACCGACTCTGTTTCCCTTTGTTGCAGGTCCATGGTTGGCTTCAAAAGAGATGGAAGAAACATGTATTTATTGTAATTTTCATGTAGTAATTCTTATTTGTAATTTGTATTATGTTTGTAATTGTAATTAATTAATAATTTTAATAATAAGTTCTTCTTTATTATTATTATATTTGTGTTGTGCCAAAAACCGAGATTGGAAGCCAATAGATCTTATTAGATCCACCGGAATCAAATTCGAATAAACTGTACAATCGTTGATATTTTAGATTCGTAATTGCCGATCTATCTTATGATATTTCACGGTTTAGGTTTAGAATTTTAGTTGGATAATTTGTCCGGACAAAATGGGGTGTCTACAGTTACGACTCCTGCTCCCACCTCCACCACTGCTGCTGCCATGGCTGCGGCAACTTCTCTGGTTTCTCATCCGTCCCTTGGCCTCACCGCCTCCTCCAGGGCAGCCGCCCTTGGCCGGGGTGCTGCCACGACCGGTTTCAAGAGGTTTCTGGCTCTAACTGAAGCTGCCAAAGACCGAAAAGACGGACCTTTCAGAAAGCTTTTCAATGCCTAAGAGTCATTTTTTATACAAATTGTTGTTTTGTGTTCAATTGTACTTCTGTGTTGATTGGGGGCTATTAGCTGGATGTATAGAAGGACGAATTTTCAACGTGCTTGGAGAGATTATTCAAGTCTGCTGTATTTCTTACGGGCTACTAGCTGGAGTTATACAAAATTTTGTTTTGTTTTCAATTGTACTATAAATCTGTTGTTTTCATCAGAGTTTTTGCTTTGCTGCTGTCATGAACCAAACAGCTGTGGCTTCTTCCATAGTATAAACCTTCGGCATGGTTTAGAGAATAACTCTTATCTCTCCGCTCCTGAAATTGCAGGACAAGATAGCAGAGTCACCCTCATCAGATATCTTGTTAAGAAAACTCCAAGTAGACAATTTCTGGAATCTCGGGATGCATATACTGCGTAGCATGAACACAACACGTTTACCCTTTATACACCTGCAGGTCCTTAGACCTGTTGATAGGGATGGCAATGGGTCGGGTTGGGTCGGGTTTTGCCAAACCCAAACCCATTGGTTTATCCGTGAAAAAAATCCGGGGTAAAACCCACTGGGTGTGAAAAACTCAAACCCAACCCAACCCGCTGGGTATCCATGGGTTCATGGGTACCCACAGGTTTTTGTCGTAAAAATTTTACAATAACAAGTTTCTATCAAAATTAAAGTCAAATATCAATATCTCAATACAAATTATCCATATATAAAACACCATTCTAGAAAATTCAAGCAAATCACAAATTAAGTATACAAATTGTTCAACACCGATCTAGAAAACTCAAGAAAATTGAAGCAAATCACAAATTATCTGTAAATAACATGATTAATTGAAAGCTTCTTCCTTTCAATTAAGTTTCTTCACTCTTCACTCGATAACATCAACTTCATTCTACACAATTTGAAAGAAAAAATTAGACATGTTTCCACAAACATAAATAAGATTAGTTGTTTAGAATATTAAATATACCGAGAAAATTAACTATATGGATGTGGGCGGGGTACCCATGGGTCGGTTTTGCCTAAACCCAAACCCAACCCAGTGAATAGTGAACGGGTTTAAACCCAAACCCAGCCCAAAACCCGTCAACAAGAATTTTACCCGCGTTGACCGGATTGGATCGGGTGGGTAACCATGGGTTCGGGTTTTGTTGCCATCCCTACCTGTTGAACCACATTTGATATTTGATTCTCACCAAGATTTACAGTCTTCTTATAGTCTCCAAACACTCTACTCTTAAGTCCTAACAACCATGTCTAGGTTTCTTTTTGAATGCAATTACGTGCAAAGTATCTTGAGAAATCGTAATATTCCGGCACGATTTGGGAAAGGGTGCAGCAGAAGCATCAATGGTAGTGGGCGGTACATCAACGCGGAAAAGATTGAACACATCCAAGTTCAACTAGATGACAAATGGATTGGATATTTTGCATTGGTGGATCTATGGATAAAATGAATTGGTGATTGGATTATGGATGTAAGTAACATCTAAACATTAGACCAATCTATAGATTTTGAAAATGTTAGGTACTAAAATGTCATAATAAAAAAATCTCAAAACATAATTCCCCCCCCCCCCCCCGGTAATTAGTGGTTTCCATTAAAGCACACTCGTTGCAAACTGCACGAGTCGAAAAAATACAAGACAACACACTGTCAAATGCAAAGCTCCCAAGGAGCACAGAAAGCAAAAAAGCTATCTACTGAGGAGTAATGATTCTATATAAATCAGGCACACTCTGCAGCATGGACTGAAAATCAACATTGCCACTACTAAACAAGTAAATTTCATCCCTCATAATGGAAGCCAGAAGCTCAGGTTGTCGAGGGTTTGCTCCAAAAGCTCTATTGCAGCGTTCTCGCCAGATGAATGAGATAGACCATCACCATATGGAACACTCAAGTATACTTCTGCAGTCATTAGTTTGAGCTTTGTGGGTCATCAGCAACATCATGTCCTCCCACGTAGTAGGCAGTTGGACGTTAGTTCTGAGCAGATAGGAGAGAAATGCAGAAGTGAATGGACACTTGCAGAACAAGTGATTCCGTGATTCACTGGTTGCTGCACAAAGAACACAACTATCATCCGAACTAATTCCCCACGCCTTGAGCTTGTCCCTCGTGGGTATTCGATTAATGATAATGAGCCATGCCAAAATTCTGCATCTGGGTAGAGTAAATTTGCCCCAAACAATCTTCCACCAGGTAACACAAGGCTGCCTAATACGCAAGGTGTTCCAAATAGTGGAAACAAAAAATATGATCATCTTATTCCCAAGCCAGGTAAGCTCTCCATCATTATCCACTCCCATTCTAAACTGTATCCAAGGTCGGACTTTGAGGACTTGTTTCCAGGTCCATGATCCTGCAGCAGTTAGCTTCGCCTCCCAAAAGGAAGATCCTCTCAGTCTATAGCGAGATATCCATGCAACCCAGAAACTTCCACCCTAAACCAGAAGAAGCCAGATGAGCCTAGCAATGCAGGCTACATTCCAAGAGATTAAGTCCTTCAGACCCAAACCCCCTTC